GGAGGAGAACAGAGTAATTAAGCCAATTCATAGATAGGGATTATTAGGAGGCCATGATTGGTAAAGGCCAATGGGAAATTTGGCCAGGACACCAGGGTTACACCCCTACTCTTTTCGAGAAACACCCTGGGATTTTTAATTACCACAGAAAGTCAGGACCTCATTGTAAACTCCATTTAATAATTTACCCAAAATAGATACCACAGAGAGCAAGCATTCTCCTACAAAGGGTTCCTGGCAAAACAAAGGCAGTTAAATGTGTCCACAAACAATCAAAACATACTATTAAATGAGTGGCAACAATAAGCTACTACAGTTATTAAATAATGAGTTCCAAAATTGTCAGTGTGCGGACAGTTGTTTTCCGCAGGGCCAAGATACATAATACCTAAACACAACTCTTCAGCAAGTGTAGGGAGCCCCTTTGCAGATTTGTAGTTATTCCTTTATTTTACTGGGTAAGCCAGACAAAAACAAATTCTTACTGACAATGACAACTGTTTATACAACAAGGCATTTACTTGGAACAGCCTGCATAAAGTGCTCTGCTAAACTAGAATCGTCTTGGAAAACAGATTTGAACCATTGACCCTCCAAGCTAGAGTGCAGAGGCCTGACCACTGTTCCACTGTGCCTTTTTGATTATAACTCAAATGGTTTTACTGATCTCACTATTACCAAAGACCACTAGTGGGCCCTAAGCAAACAAAAACATTGCTCCTCACCACTGTAATACAAATACATTTTTAATTCCTACAAATGCATGGGCACCAGTACAGTATGGAGATTATTTAACACTGATGATGGAATATGAATCTAGCAGAATTGCCTTAAAACACCTTTGACTCTCCGAGTTGAAATATACAGTTGGACCTGAGCTCAAGTGCTTAAGCATTATATTTTTTATATCCAAAATTAAACCTCGGACTGTACTTGTGAAACTATTTTAAAGCATCTTATTTAAGACAACACTGTAATTGGTATATATGCCTGAGGCATTATTAGGTCATCCTAAAAGCAAGATGCTTTGTATTTAAACATTTCTTGGTACAACACCATTATCTACAGTGTCAAAATGTGTATGAAATATTGACAAAAGTACAGTTTTCTCTCCCCTAGGCCAGTAAAAACGACTGTACCTTTGGTATAAATACTAAAGCCAATAAAATAAGATGATGCTGTACGAGTTATATATCCGCTGTGAAAATGTAGGAGGACACATAATGAAAAATGAGACAGTGATATTACTCCCCAGCTCTCCAAACAGCCCAAATTAGAGTTGAACATGCTAAAATCAAAATATAGGTCCGTTAGCATGAGGCATCTGAGGCCAGAGGGAGCAATAACTACAAAAATCTTTTTAGAAGTTGTAACAATCTCATTTTACACAGGGACTGTTTTATAAATCTTTTTATATACACAAAACAAATACATAGAAAATGTCTAGCCATATTTACTGAATCTTTAATGAGTGAACTGGGCATGTCTCACTATGATATACAGTACAGGCAGATTGGTCAGGCTAATCCATTATATTTACTCTCCTAGCACAATGCTCATCCGAGCAAATTACACAATATACAGTACACATTTGTTTCTTGGAAGATTATTATCTGAAATGATGGTAATGGAGAGAAGAGGAGATACTATGACCAATGTTGAGGAGACAAATGGAGGAAAACTGAAACTGAAAGTTGATGGCTTTAAATACCTTGGATCAAAACTGGTAAAGGGAGGAGAAACACTGGAGGCAGTAAAACAAAGAGTGAAAGCTGGATGGAACAAGTGGAGAGAAATAACTGGAATAATCTGTGACAGGAAAATTCCTAGAAAGTTAAAGTGCAAAATGTACAAGACTGTGATTAGACCTGTACTACTATATGGAGCTGAATGCTTGGCAGTTGGAAAGAGGGAAGAGAATTTGATGAGAAGAACTGAAATGAGGATGTTGAGATGGATTCTGCAGATTTCAATGAAGGATAAGATCAGAAATGAAGAAATCCGTAGACGATGTAGGGTGGTGGATGTGGTTGAGAAGATGCGAGAGGCGAGGTGACGGTGGTATGGACATATCATGAGGAGGGACGTTGAGGAAGTAACAAAGAGGATAATGGAATTTGAGGTGGAAGGTAACAGAGGAAGAGGCAGGCCTAGAAAGAGATGGATAGATACATCTATTTCACAGGGGAGTAAGAGCCTTATCCAGCAAACAACAGGCCCAAGGCAGGGTATACACTGGACAGAACACCAGTCCATCACAGACCACATACAGATACACACACTCCCACCAGGCAATGTTTTCCTAGAAGCCAATTAACCTACTAGTACGTCTTTGGTTTGTGGCAGGAAACCGGAGCACACAGAGAAAACCCATGCAAACACAGGGAGAACATCCAAACTCCATGCAGACAGCACTCCAGGGCGCCAGAGCTGCAAGGCAGCAGTGCTAATCCCTGCACCACCATGCCACAACTACCGCTCAATTGCTCTGTATTGAAAATTTGAAAAGGACGTTTCTAATTACTTCTCTACTATGTTTAATATAACTGTGAAACATTACATATTTACATAATTGAAAATGGGAACCAACACATAATGTCAAGTATTTTTTAATGAATTTAACCCTTAGTGTAATGAAGAACGTTCACAGAGTTACAAAACAGCATGTTTCATCAGTGCCCAAGGAAAAAGACACTTTATAAAATTACAGTTTCAAAACACCCTACAGATTGAGCTGTAAGAGTACACTTTGCACCTGAAATTATTTCAGTTTTTAAATGATTATTATTTTTAATATTTGCACATAAATGACAACTTTGGCAGAAAACAGAGGGTCAAGTCTTTTTTGAGCAAGTGTCTACCGGCTTTGCGTGACAGCCTGGTGCAATTCTTGCCCATTCTCTTGGCAGACTTGCTCAAGCTCTCTGCAGTTACTAGGGGATTGCTCCTGGACAGCAGTTTCAATAGTTTCTCAATTGGATTCAAATTAGGTCCTCAACTGGGCCACTCAAGGACATTTACTTTTTATTCGCAGTCTACATTGTACCTTTGGCCCTAGAATACTGTTCCACTGAAGGAAGAACTCAAACATATTGCTGCCACCACCACGCTTGACAGCAGGGATGGCATTGACCAGAGCACTTAAGACCAAAGAGCTCTAATTTTGTCTGACCAAAAAACCTTTCACCACCATGTTTGCAGTATCACTTAAATCCTTTGTGACTGGGATATTCTTAGCTCAAACTTCTCCCATTTCAGCCAGTGAACTCTGGAGCTCCTTCACAGTCACTGTTATCCTCCCACCCCTGACCACCTGCTTGGTTTGGAAGGAACAACGGGATCTAGGCAGTGCGAGAGCCTTCTACTTCTTAATGATTGACTGCTCCCTACTTAAAGAGATGTTCAGGGCTTTTGAAATGCCTTTATAGAGCTGTATCTCCGAGTTGTTTTGAAAGCTCTTTGGCCTTCTGGGTCGCATCTTTGCTTCTCTGCAGGCTTTTGATAGTGGGATCTTACAGAAACAAGTGTGTTTATCCTGAAATCATGTAAACCGTATTAATGCACACAGACAGAGGCCACTCAACTAATTGTGTGTCTTATTAAGGTAATTTTGTACACCTTTGGCAAAGCAAAGGGCTTAAATACTGTACTTAGGCAGTCTTTTTCCATTTTCATTTAATATTACCTATTTACTCAATATTTTTGTTTTGTGCTTTGAATGTGTTGTGTATATAACAAATAGACCTATTAGTTGCTACTTCAAAGTGTCATAACTGCAAGCCTTAAAGTGACAACATGAGAAAAGTATGCAAGAGCTTGAATACCTTTGTAAAGTACTATAAAACACACTATCACAGTGAATAAAACCCAAAGTTATAAAGATTCCTCAGAAATCTATAACTATATCTATTCTTCTTGTCATCATTCTGTAAACAGACTAACACAAAAGTGTATTGGCAATCTTTATTTGAAACATGAACATTATTATCCAATAATTCACTTAAAATTAATTAATAGTCTTTATTTAACTATAGTTATTTACCAATAATAGAGTTTTGAGGGTTATCTAGCATTGACTCATTTAAGTGAGTAGCAGGAAAGGTTTCAGTTGAATTAACTGCAGATCCATATGTGGCGTTCATAAACAGTAATGACACCATAACAGGCAGCCATCATAAACCAGAAATAAATATCCTTTTCGACAAGGGTGTTTCACAGTCATAAACTACAACATCTCCATCAAGGAAAAAGGTTTGTTTAGCTACAACCGTGTTCTGAGTCATGACCCGAGAAGGAATAAATGCTATTCAGAGAAGCTTCAGTAACCTTAAAGACTTTAACCCTAATTATCCTGGCAAATTAAATTAAACTATAGCCTTGTAAAAGTAGTGTAGTGGACACGTTCGTTAGTCCTTGATGACCAAAACTATAAATGCCCTTTGGCTGAAAGTGAAATATATCAGCAATGATTAAAAGTACAATTCGCACACATCAACAGCAGTAAGGTTTTATATATTACTAACTTAAGGAGTCTGTTCTCAGGATGTGAAAGGGTGTGTCTGAAGCACATGCCATGTTTCCTCAAGACACAAGTTTAAACACGCCGATTAAATTCAGAGGTCTGATGGTTTATACACAGCATACCAGACCAAAGATACTATTGTTTTCTGAAAACATCAACAGCAACAACAACAATAATAATTTCCTTTACTGTGCGATCTGAAACCCACACTACTCTGGATTAAGCACAGAAAACAGCTACGCAAAGACCGAAAAATTAAACAAATGACACAGCAGTAAACACGTAGATTCCCCCCACTAACCTGAATTTCACATAATATCAGAGACAACGAATCTCTTTGAACTAATCAAAGGTAGCATTTAAATTTATGATGGATTCTCATAAAATTATTATCAGATTTGATCAATTATGCCCATACCGTGGTTTAAAAAAATATGATCTATTTCTTTCTGTTAAAAGCATTTTCTGTTTAACTTACTGATTTTCCTGGTGATCTTTTGGTAGTGTCTGTGTCACACACTCAAACAGCACAAGAGTAATATCCCTTCATGAACTTGTCATAAATAACTGTGCCTACAGTAGGTAACAGTATACCAGGAAGTAAACCGGTATGATTGACGCGTGTAACAATCCAGTCGAGCGCCAGGAACAGATTCCTTGTCCAATTATATTCTAAGAGGGGCGGTGCATTAGATTAACAGGGTTAGGTTGTAAAGCACCTACTGTATTTTATTTGTAGTGGGGTAACTAAAGGCATACTGTACATTTTCGCTGGGGGTTTCTCAACAAAATTACAGAATCTTTTAATCTAAATATGTAATATAGGACTTGAGACTCTTTTATTGTTGAGTTCACTGATGCATTTTGGTATTGACAAACGTTTTCCAGAGCTTTCTTCTCGTGTGCAGTAGTTAAGAGGTGTGATGTGAGTTGAGGCGAACATTAATTTAACTACGGGGTAACTGGCGCTCGTGATAATTACTCATTTTAAAGCGATTTGTAAGTCAAATTCACAGTACTTAATTATTGATAAGCTGCACAGTGCAGGCTGAAATCAATTAAATATGTTCGGGTAGGTACCTACCACACCATGTGTAGGCTGCAAAGGATCAAATAAAATGTTTATTCCATGCTGAAAAGAGAAGAAAAGATGCACAACATTTCAGCTATGGAGCCCTTTTCACACTCTAAGGAGGCTCCAAAGCCGAAACGTTGTGTTTCTTTACTTCTCTTTTCAGCATGGGATAAACCTTTACTTGCTCCTTCATAATAATTAAATATAATTACTATTCTCTCAGTGGTCCTTGCAGCAGCACCAGCATTTGCAGAGTAGAGGAAGAGTTTGTGACTTGTATGACACCCGGAGAATGCTGACCTTATCACAGAATACAACACCTTGCCTGACCTTCTTGATTTGTCAGCAAACAGGCACCATGCAAGGTAATTGTGGTAACTTAAGAACACTGAAGGAATATTTTCAGTAACACCATACATACAAATGTAATGTCAGTTTATTTTTAAGTGCATTTTGTGCTCTTGATCACTGATATTCCTGGTCCTGAGGGACAGCTGTCTTTGTAGGTTTTCATTCCACCTTATGACTCTTAATGATTTTATTGCCCCAATTGCACACTTAATTGATATGTATTACCACTACCATTACCAATTCCCTTGAGAGGCCCTTACTTATTGCCAATTATAAATTTCCCATGAAACCTGGTGGATGCCAGCCTACCTGAAATAGCATTGAATATTACCTATGTAGGTTAATTAGAATTTCAAGACAAACCCTACAGTACCTTGTAGAAGTTTTTATTTCCTTCAGCAATGATAAGGAAAAGTAGATATTGTGTATGCTATGCTTACAATCTCTTTCTGATTGTATCAAACAGCAGGCAAAACAGTCTTCATGGTCTGCAAGTCTCTTTGCACATTTTCTATGAGGAAAAAAAAATGTCTTCTAATCAAGAAGTCGTAATCTTCTTTGGTGCTTGGACTGGGTGTGGGGAATGCACTGTCTTTGCTCCAGGTTCATTTGATTCTGCATAGGGAACGGATTTTGCTGGAGTGTGAAATAAGATTAATAGGTTGAGAGTCTCCAGGTTATGCTTGCTCACTGTTCTTTAAGATTGCTGCAATTGCTCTTTGGCAGTAGTCCACCGGGCTGTGGTCCCTATGCTTTTAAATCAAGGGCTGTGAAACTGATTGCCACTTCATCCTTCAACATTTCGGCTTGTTGTGTCAATGAGGTTGTCTGAACTCCGCTTCATGCTATTTGGTAATGTATAGTGTGATTTCCCTGTCCGATCACGCTTTAGATTGGAGATGGACAGTCCATCCATACATGTTTTAATTACTTTATCCAACACAGGGATGTGGGGGATATGAAACCTATCTAGGGGGTGTTTGGCAGAATACACCGTGGATGGGACTCCAGTCCATCGCAAGGCACACACAGACACAGACACACACACACAAGCAATAGGGCCAATTTTCCCAGAAGCCAATTAACCTAGCCAAATCAAAGAGTATGTCTTTGGACTGTGGGAGGAGACCCACTCGATCACGGGGAGAACATACAAACTCCACACAGATCGCACCCCAAGGACCTATCTCAGGACCAGAGCTCTGCAAGGCAGCAATGCTAGATGGAAAGTGGCCTAATTAAATAAGTGGCCACAGGGGGGTTAATATTAAGAGTCTCCAATAAGTACCCATTTGCAAGGAAATTATTATAGAAACAAATAATAATAATCTATGAAAGAGACATAACCGTATTGAAAGCAATGTTTTCTTTCAGTTAATTTGAAATGTAAAAAATGCATATTTTCTAATAAGCAACTTGTGTCCAGGTCTTCTAAGCGGTTTGGCAACTAATATTTTCAAACAGGAGAAAATAAAACAGTCTTTTTTTTTTCTTTAAACATACTGTTAGGTATTTGTGTAACACGAGTTAACGCAGTGCTTTTTTGTATTTTACTCGAATGTCGATATCAAATTATTTCGTTAGAGGATATTAGTAGCAGGTATATAGTATTTAATATTTGAGTAGACGGCTAATCAATTATTAGAAAAATACGTAATTTATAGCAATTAAACGTATAATAAAAAAATCTTACTCTATTAAACTATCAAAGGGATCAACGACTTCCGACGTGGGGATGTAGCTCAGTGGTAGAGCGCACGCTTCGCATGTGTGAGGTCCCGGGTTCAATCCCCGGCATCTCCATGGTATTTTTTACTACAGGCTCGTTACCGTTTCTCTTCGTCCAGAGTACCCATGGTAAATTGCTTGCACTTTTACCGAAAAGAGCGCATTTAATCTTGACATATTAAAAAGAATCAGATGATAAATCTTTAAAATCTGGAAAACAAGAACTTATGTTGCTTGCATGTATGCAATATGTGGGTACTTCTCGTGTTAAAGTTTAGTTCTAAAAATAAAAACATCACCGACTTTTTTTCGCCAAAACTACATAGGCTGGGATATTTCCTTCTTACTTCTCTGGCATGACCTGCCGTTGAAGTTACTAACTCTTGTGTTAGAAAATTCACACAACACCCACCGCCTAAATGAAAAGTCACAAGTTTAACAAAAAAACTACTTTTATATTAATCAACACGAATTGGTAAATATGTGAGATCACCTCTAATTATTTTTGGAAATCTGAATCTGTGTTTTAAGCATAAGAAGATAATTTCTTCCTTCTTCCTGGGTATTTCGATATGAAGCGTTACACGTGTTTTTCTGTGGGCGGGAGGGTTTATAAAGGTAGCACATCCCACTGCAATGGAAACAGCGAGTTCCGCTGTGTGCGTGAGGTTCCTTAATGTATTGATAGTCTTGAACGCGCACGGCCTCTGTCGTCACGGAGACGGAGGCTTGTGACGCTCTGACTGACGCAGTTGTCTGCTGTGATGAACAATAGTGTGCTAGGACTGGCTCGCGCTGCGCTGCATTGCTACAATGGAGGTCTTTATGAGACGAAACGTCTGATCTTGGGAGTTTGCACTGGGGGAAACATATCCTTAATTTCAATCTTAGAATAATGTTTTGCGGGATTCAGCTATCATCAACGTCCTGTTATACGGGGAAAAGGACTACTTGTGTTTAGACGGCAGGTTAGCGAGCTTAGAAGGCGCGTTTACCCGAGGATGGTATTCATTTTGCCATGTTTTTTCTGCGACATGTTTTAACTAAACCGTAAGTATTTCTTATAACTGAAATATGACAATGAAAACTATGGGGTTGTGTGGGGTTAAGGAAATCCTTACTGCCACTAGAGTAATGCATGTGGTTTTTGAAGTCCTTAGTTTTGTGCAGAGTTCTCATGCAGTTTGCTGTGGTTTGTGGTTAAATATTATATTACCGATATCATACTTGTGTAATTCGTAATAAAACTCTGACCATTCCATTAAAACAAAAATACAGTGGACTAGAAAGGCAAAGAATAATAACTTCGAGCATGGAGAATATTTCCTCATTTCCGATCTTCCCTGCTTTGTATTCAATTTAATTCAGGTCTGTTATATACAGTATTGTTGGTTTATATCGCTTGATTAATAAAGGCATTTTTCATCCATAGAAACAGCTGGATTTGTGCTCATTGCAGATGTTCCATAATAGTTGCTTGGTCATTGATGTGCGAATAACATATGGGAAGCAACATGTCGCCATATGGTTTATTTAGCCTTTTGCCTTGAAGTAAATCAATCATACACATTCTGAATGAAATTACCGTGACATTGCACTGGCAATGATAAATTTCTTTGAGCGAGGTAAAGAGCTCCAGATTAAATTAAAATGATAAGTGATACTATACCTTAAATTGCCATGATCGTGGCCAAAGGTACATACTGCAGTTAATGAAGTATTTACCTTCGTGCTGGACAAAGCTTCCATACTGTATGCAGTAATGCATTGACATACAGTAGAAAGGTTGCTGTTTTTTACGTGTACAGTGAGTGCTACACTTCATACATTGGCTTAAGCGTCTGTGCAGGTTAATTTGTATGATGTAAATATGTGTCACGTTTCTTAATAATTAGAATAAAATATGTTTGTACTCCTGTGCACAACAGAATCTTAACCTATAAGAATCCATACATTTTAAACATTCTAAAATAGTTGTGTAAAAATGTTTAAGCTGCTGTCTGTTAAGTAAGGCCTGCTTTTACATTGTTACATCTCTATGGAAATGTTACTGTAGCCTAGAGCTCATTTATACTGTAATAGTGTTATTTATACCTAATTATACATGCTCCAAGTTATCAGATAGTTTTCAAAAGAGTACCCCAGTATGGGCAGTTTATTTAAAGAAAACATAGCATTATAATTTCAAGTTATCACTTTGTTTTACTTTACTGTAAGTCCTTTACTTATGTAGCTTTGGATCAATTATTGGCTACTACACGTTTTGTATTTATGCTTTTTGTAATGTGTTATTTAAAAAAAGTCTTATTTGCTTAGATCAATATTGCTTAGTAAATTCATTTTTTTCTTTAGAAAGTTGACAGTATCCACATATGATACAAACATTAAAATCTATTAGTTACTACTTAGCCACTTATTATTATGCAGTCAAACTCTATTAATTTGTTTTTCTTTTCCTCTTAGGGAAATGGTGCTGCTTTTTTCAGTGGAGTAAACGTCTTTAAGTCTGCTGTGTCAGCCCTTTTTTAAAATATAATTTAGTGGTAGCGTTTCACTGAAAAGATGGAAAAGGGTGTTTATTTACTACAGATTTCAAATCTGACCTTTTCTAAGAACATATTTTTTTCTTCTGATAGTTCACCATTTCATTCTTAAGAAATAACTGCTGATTTGATTGCACTTGATTAGCTCCCTCCCCTGTAATGATTGGCAATTAAAATATGCATATAAATGAGGTACTTAGTAATTCAACTGTTCAATGGGCAATTAAATTGCTTAATTATATTTTAAACTCTTAATTGTAATTGGCAAATGAATAACAGTAGATTTAGGATATTATATATAAATACTTTAATAAATCCCTTATTCAAAATGAATCAGTCAATTAATTAATTGTTCTACTGATAACTGTGCAAGGCATTCCAGTTTTAAAAAAAAGCTACTGGCTGAATTATCTGTTGGTTCACATATTTAATGTTATCTGGAAATCATGGGAATTACAAAGAAAAGCAGTGACACATTTCAATAAATCGTATAATTAATTCTCTGTTTTGTAAATTATCTTTCACTTCTGAAGAAGTTTTTTTTTATGCACTGTAACTTTTGAGAAGCCTTTTTTAGGATTTTATAGCTGTCATAAGTAATTACTGTTCACCTCCCAAAAAACTTTACCATAGGAAAAATGTTGTTCTGGGGTGGTGAAGTGGTTAGCAATGTTGCCTTCTAACCATTTTGGGTTCAAATCTAATTGAAGCAACTGCCTGTATTGAGTTTTGCACGTGTTCTCGTTTGGGTTTTGCCTGATGCTTTGATTATCTTGTCCATTTCAAAGATACGATGGATAGCAATCATTGGCTAATACAAATCGGCCCTTTTCAAGTAAGGGCTTCAAGTAATCTTTAGCCCTAAAAGATTATTTCTAAATATAAGATGTGACTATAATATGTAACCTGTATAGGCTTTAGGACTATAGATACATAGAACCAAACATGCAAAACTGGTTGAATGGTACCCTCTCATCTGTGACCTTCTACTGTCTATTTATTTGGTCCTTTATTTTAACCAAACAAGCCAACTGAGAGCCAATTTACAGTGATGACCTGGAGAGAATGCCTATTTGTACAACAAATTTAAATGGAGTGTACTTGATGGAGTACCATTCTCTGGTGTACAACAGCAGAACCCATGATTTGGGTCTACAACCCTATGGTCCAGAGTCTGGATCTTTAACTCCTACTCCATGCTCACTCTACACTGCTGCTTTCTACTACTTGCCTTGTAATCCATAAATGAGGTTTTGAATTTAGTTCCCTAGCTGATAGGCCTGACTCTCTTAAGATGTGGATTGCATTTTGGGGTGCAAGATGGTCACAGCTGGACATCTGTAATGGAAGTCTAACTGCTGCCTGATATATCACCATTCCCCAAGAGAGAAGTCTTACACTGTGTTTCAAAGGTCACAGTACTTCTTCTGTATATGCCACGCTGAGATATTGTGTCCAAGCTTCTCAGCTCCAGTATGACCTGACCAGTCACTAGAAGTGAAGCTACTGAGAGTGCACATACAGTATGTAAGAGCACATGTGCACTTTCCTTGACCAATCTGAATAAAACCATCTCAGTACACCTCTTTCTTGAGAATCCCTCATGTAGATTTTGTGCCAGGGATTGATGTCAATACAATACAACACTTTAAGTATTGATGATTCATCTTAAACTTCTACAAAGAAAGAGTGAACAAAAACATTTGAAACACCTTAAAACACAACCCCACATAAACAGTAAACAAGATCAAGATGGGTTTGTTCAACAAGATGTTGCTGTGATATAACTGAATATTTTCTAAACTAGTTTCTAAGAAGAAAGGTAGAAGATCACGTGTGATATTGGTCACATGGTGTGTTCAAGTCAGGAGCCCCTGCATAATTGATGTAAACCTGGTGTGATAACAATTACTTGGAAAATAAGCTAATGACATGGCATAGATGGCAGAAATGCTGTATACAAACCACAGGAATGCTCTTCTATTCAATCTGTAAAGCAGCTGCCTGATTTACAACATTATGTAGTGGTGATTGATGTTAAAATTAGTGTCTGTCCATCTCTTCTGAAACATTCTCACTAGGGTTTACATGTAGTGCTAAAGGGGGTAAGTGCATAGTGCTGATCCCAGACTGATATAGGACGTCTTGAGTAACCTAACCATTTGTGGATGAGTATTTCATGATGAAAGATTAAGAGATTAAGCTGGACATTGATGCGTCTATAGAGGCTAGAGAACAGGTCTCAGTGTGGTCTGCATAGTAGGCTGCAGTGAGTTTGTCATCAGTAACAACAAGATAACCCCTTCTGCCTGAAAATAGGATGACAGCTTTAGTATTTTCTTAAGTATAACATAAATTCTTATAATACTAAATAAAACACATTAATGAATTAGTATGGCTTGAGAATAGGGAGAGAACATTTTATCACATTTCTAAAGTAGTTCTGTGTGCTGGTGAAGGGGTTATACAGGCTTGTAAGTGTAAATTGAAAAAATTGACTTTAATTGGATACCAGCTTCTAACAAAAACACATTGGCTAAGATGTATGTTTTGTCTCTTTCATTTGTTTTCTAAGTGCCCACTTATGTGAATGTTGTACCCGTTAGACTAACTGCTGTTGTATACAATCTGTAAAGTAAAAATTACTTTTCAGATAATGCAACAGATACTCAGCATCTAAAAAAAACTCTGTAAACTGTGTTTTCACAGCTTCACAGCTTACAGTATATTGTATATTGCATCTAGTCTTAAAGAAGCTTAAAATGAAAATGAGTGTTTAAATTGCAGATCCCAGTACTGTATATGAAAATAAATGTGCTGTGGTCTCTTGTTAGATTGTGTAATAGACCAAGAAAGGTCATACATGCATTTGTATTTCTCAGAAAGTGATTCTTTAAATTAGTATGCAACATTCAAACCTCCTGTAGCTTTTCTTATTTGTGCTTGAGAAGGTGTGTACCTCATAATGCAAAGATATAAGGGCTTACTGGGAAGGTCCAATGAACTGCTTGCAACAGTGCACAGTAGGAGTATAGCAGTGATCTGGATTCATTGAACTAAGTAGACCTAATGCCTTGAGGTGCTGTCAGTATGACATTATTTTAACAATCTGTAGGTGTCTCTGAGTTTTAGTTGTCTCCTGCAGCCCAGTACTGTATTTTATTCTGAGAGAAATATATTCAGAACACCTTGTGAATAAAAGCTAAGATGCAGGTACCTCTAGGTGTCCACTCTGTGGGTCTGCCTCTCTAGCTGCCTGTAAGTCATGCTTTAGAGTAAACTAATTTATTACATGGGCACTTGGCTGTAACGTGGCTCTATAGCTATTCCATGTGCATATTTTAAGTGTTTTTTAGGGGAAAACCACAGGCCATTAAAAAAATGCTTAAGCAAATGTCTTTTCAGGTCCTGCAGTGAATTGTATCATTTTGCCAAGCAGCTGGAAGAAATTAGTTTCAGCTGGCAACAAGAAAAAATGATACAAGGACCATAATATACAGATTCATCCAAATTAACTCAGCTAGTAATTCAGATACTCATAATGTGTCAAAACAATGCTGGAGTTCTTTCACATTACCAATGAGAACTTTATTGTTTAGTTTACAAAGATTTATTCCTCAATTTGTTTTCTGTTTCTCTGAGTGTTAAATGGACAGTTATTTTGTGTTTCCTGCCGACAATAGTTAAAATTGTTTGTGAACACTGCTTTATGCTATGTCCCATATATCAGAGAAAGAGAGAAGTCACGCTCCTCTGAAATGAATCCCTGTCAGACCCTTTCATTATCTGTGTGCAGACATCACCACACAACTTCTACGTACCCTGCAGGTCCCAGGAGTCATTGCTGCAAGGCAAGCTGAAAAAACCCTGGTCACCTCTAGCCCATTGAACTCTAGCATTCAGCCATGTGTGTGGGCTGCTGTTTGGGGAATCCTGGTGACATTAGGCTAATGACATAGTCCGGATGTGAATCAGTGATGTCTGGGTTATAGAGCTCAAAGTGTACTCCAAATGCCTACCACCTTTACTAGTTTCTCATATTTGCTGGTAAATTGTACCAGTGACGGGACAGGGCTGATGCTGCTATTCAACACTTATTATAATTACTCCATAACACGCAGCAAAATCTGCCTTTTAAAATATAAGGGTTCCCTAAATTAATTAGCTTTGTAAGAGTAAAGAAAAAATTACACTGTAGCAGATGTCTAGCTAGTCTCAAACCTTTTGCCCTAGAGTTCACAGACAAAAATGCACCAGAGGAAACTCATCCGAACAATCGCAACTCGGCATTAAGAGCAGGAAGAGCGATGAAGAGATGCTGTGTGTGTTATGGATGTCATGCGTTTGCATCAACAAAAACATTAACACTGATTGTTATCATTTTAACAATATTTTGAATATTAGTTTATCACCTTGATTATCACAGATGATCAAGAATGTTGTGGTGGAAATAATAAGAAAATATTAACTGAAAATAAGTGAATCAATAAACTATTCTTAAACCACCAAGAACATTGGGCCAAACAGTTGAACAGATGTTTTTTTTTTGTTCTCAAATACCTCGGTGTGTTCCTAGTTTTCAGAGTAAATACAATATAAAGCTGTTGGGAACTTGTTCAAAATATGTAATGGGTTAAACAATAACTTGAAAAAGAGTGAAACCTTTGAAGTTTGAGGTTGACAGCAGGTCAAGGCAGTATTCGCTCCCTGTTCACTGAATGCAGCACACCGCCACAGTTTAAAGAAGAATTTACAAATTCATTCCTTGACCAAGGCAAGTGACCAAGGGGAAAGGAATAAGATTACCTCCATTCTGCCTCAGTTCTGTCCTTACAATTGGACACTTTTTGAAGTTGTATTTGTTTTTCACATATTTCTTTTGCATCACTCAGGTTGTATATTTATGCACCTTAACTGCATACAAGTAGGCAGTTCTATTTTTTGTGCGATAATCTTGGAAGGTCCAGAAAACATTATCAGTCCATTTTTGTTAGTTACTTTACCAAGTACAGGGTTGCAGTGAAGTTTATAGCATCTCTAGTGAAAAACAAGAAATGCCATAATCATTGAAATTCAGCAGCTCGTATTGTAGCTTGTAGCATTCCCTTTTCTCTCTCACGCTATTTAAAAATTAATTAATAATGCAAAGTGTTCAATTCTTAGATTTTTAACATATGGACACTAAAAAAAAAAGAAAATCAGCCAAGTGAAGAAATCAGAACTTTGTGTTTCTTTAGGATTGACAGACACAAAATAAACCAAATTTCCCCACCAGTCTTGTTTTAAACCGCCCTATCCTGCATTCAGTACTAACCTTCAGTGTGCTAGCAGACCATTATCAAAATTCATTATAAGAACATGCTTCCTGGTTTCGGGACAGCACCAGTGCCTTAATTCTTTGATGCTATGGTAACAACTGAAAAGCTGAATTCTGCTATTTCTCGTGGAAATGTAACAGAGCTGTGCAGCACCAGATTACTTCTTATAGTCTTGGTTGTGGCGGATTTCTGTGGGTGAAAAGTGATAGCGGACTAAAAGTTCATTAAAGCCGTTTGCCAGGTTTAAAAGAGTGTCATATTGAATGATGCACTTGGGCACAATACAGATCTGGAATTTTGCTTGTGAGGCTTCACTTTTCCAGCCAAACCAAGCAAAGTACAAAAATCGCCTTTGTAGAGAAAAAAATGACAAGTGGCGATTCCCAGTGCCATTCCTAAATTGTCCAATATTCAGTAGGTGCCTGTTGATATCAACCAAAGGATTAAGCTCTGTCCTGCTGGCAGTGTTTGCTCATTAGATTCTTGTTAAGCCTGGTCTAGGTATTGTGCACGAGCCTTGTGCTACTCCTTCATGTGGAAGTTCAGATGCTGGGCTGCCATTTCAGTCAGGCATCATCCAACAGTGACATGTTTTAAATTGGTAACTGCTTCATTTGCCATTTTTGATCATTTATATAGATTATGTTTTGATTGTATTTGTAACATCTCCAATAACATTTGAAAAAAGAAAGAAGTGAAAGAAATAGTGTATCGAAAAACAATGAACATCTATCATAATATATTTCACACTAGTATCATTAACAACTACAGAATATCACTGATGGCTGATTTTGTGCCACATTATTTTAGCAATTAACCAATACCATTGCCTATAATGGCTGAAGGTTTCAATGTGGATTCCACCTCTTACAGCCTGATGTGAATTCATTTTCTAGATTTCCTAGCTAGAAAAAAAACAATATAGTTGTAAGACATGTCTATTTAGTTATCACAATTTGCTAGCAAAAAAATCATCTTTCAACTTTCGTAAAGAAATGCATTTATTTAAAAAAATCAGTGTAGATGTAATCTAAAGAGTGGTGTAATACTACAGTTGTATAAGGATGCACGTGTTATAGTATTCACTTACAGTACCGTAAATATAGTACAGTATCCGATCTTACCATGCACACGCTCTGTGAAGTTCAAATAATCATTTATCGCTAAAGAATAATGGCAGCACATTTATCTTTAAAACGAGAAAGTGCTGAAAAAACGCAGCATTTTAAATGATTCCTAATGATCCTATCTTAAAGTGATATTTGAAGAACCGCCACTTAGTCTCGTAACTAAAAAACATTTTGTGAAACTAGCAATAAAGCATGTCTATGTACTATGTACTATACTAAAAATGTGTTGTATTATGTTATATACCGTATACTGTGCTAATCTACTTTCTCTCATATACAGGGGCGCCTGGGCAGTGAAGTGGTGATGTTTGTAAACGTGCTGATGGGCAATGAAGAACACCGTCCTCTGCTGGAGAGAGCAAACGTCCAGGAACAGTCCTAGTCTCATGCGCCGTAATGGACACAAATACTGTGGGCAGTGAATTTTATTTATTTTGATCAGTACCCCACAGCTGTCTGAAACGGGCATGTTACCACATTAGTGATATTCCTGTAAGTAGTTCATGTGTTCATGAACTGACGAGGGCTGGTAGCATGCTACCTTGTGGACATCATTGCAATTCAAAAAACGTAGGATTTATACCAGTATTAGAAATACTGCTCTTTATTGCTGGATTTCCAATAAAGAAACTTTGAAATGAACACGGATGTTGCGTTTTTTTTCTAACAATCGAAAGGCTGGCACGAAAAGCTTGAACACTGACAAAAGCGAATCGACGTTAATCTTTGAATTATGTGATTGAATGCGCTTTTCACCCCCTGTGGCTCCCTCAATGTGAATACAGTGCAAGGTTAGACTGCAGGATCGTTTATTGTATTAAACTCGGATGCAAGTGAGTGGATGGGTTTTGAATCACTGACGTAGCACGCAAGAAAGTTTCATTTTCCGAGTTAATGTTATCAAATTATGAAACGGTGCGCACCAGACTGTGCTCTATAAACACAACCCAGTCGATATCTAGAGAAAAAGACTAGCATTTTAAGGTTGACACGTGTTTTACAGACAAACGGCGAAAGCTAGCTTGATGACTGAAAAGCAATCCCTTCATTTCCCCAAGTACAGCGCAACAAGTTGCTGCATGGGATTTATGCAGAAATATGGCTCCTGCGCTAAGCACCAAAGTTCACCCGTGCTTTCAATTTAGAAAAAACAACAACGTGGTGTTGTTCTGGGATAAAAATAGACCACTTCTTTCTTTAATTATGTATTCTCCAGTTTCCGATCGCAGCTAAAATAGTCGGTGGAAGCACGGCCCATTATAAGATCAATAATAGAGTCCTACTGTAATAATAATAGAGCACCAAAAACAAGAAAAGGCTGTGACTGCTATTTTTGGCAGAGACTGTTGGTTGCGTCAAAGGCGGCGTTCCCTGCGTCATGCACCATTCTGCCACCCCCTATCACTTTTTCCCTTTCGTTCGACTAAATTGGTTCGCCCACGACAACTGACGCTGCTCCGCTGTTAATGAGCTCCCTCTGTCTGCTCTCACAACACAAGCAGCTGGGAAAATTAAGGTAGTCACGTACTGAGGTACACACCCACTCTTTTTAGAGGTCTAAATTTGGAAACGCATGTAAATCAGTTAGATGTGTAGCAAGATAGAGGAGGGCTGAGAACAATCCCATATATAATACAAATTAGATACATTATTTGAAATGTGGCAGATTGTGTACTTCACAAGAAATGGCAACTTTCTGACTGCCTCTTGTATCCACAGACCGTGAGTTGAAGGGTGCAGTGATTCATGTTGGACAGAGGGTGGTAGTTTACGAGGGAAAAATAAACATCTGTAATCATGTGTTTCTAGAGTTTCAATTCATCTGAATTGGACCTCAATCATTATTATAATGACTTTTATAAATGTAAGTATTCCGTATGTGCAACGACTGAGTACTACACGGTATAAAATATTGTGAACGCGTGCTATAAAGACCTGCAGGACCAGCATTTGGCACGGAAAACAAAAATTAGGATAACATTCACACAGTATTATCACCGAATCTATAATACAGTTTCATTATGCCGAAGGACATCAGAGTGTATTTCAAATTGTTGTTGTTTTTTTTCCGCATATTTACGTGATTGCAGGCAATGTTACTGTACTGTCAAGGGGTTTACTCCCTAAAGCAAACTTACATCTAGTTCCACACTTGACGGGACGCCTCACTTTTCTGAAGACGCTTCAACATGCCAATAACCTCTACCCCCCCCCCCCCCCCCCAAAAAAACTCTCTGCGTAAAGCAGTGTCGTCAGGCCCTGACACCCCACCTCCACCACTCCCCCCAAAAAAAAAAATCAAATGCATAAAATAAACGGGTTTATATTTGACCAGATTGTAATATCTGCCAGAGTTCTCTTGACAACTTCATTAATGTCGTGTCTCACATCTGCTTCTGAGGCGACAGCGTATTCCGAAGGCCACACACAACGCCGCTTACTTCCAGAAGGGAGACACATCATGGTAAGCAAAAACGCAATTGTTAAAATCCATTACTGGAATATCAGACTTGTATACCATTTTACACCTGTTTACAAACATTACGTTTCTGGGTTTTCTGATTTGGGAACGGGTGAAGCGAACCGTGGTACCCTACTACCTTAAAACGCTGCTCAGCTTAATACGTCAAGGAATTGGCCAACAGCACGGAGAAGTCTAACCCCCCCTCGAGACACTGATTGGCCTAAGTCATTGACGATGCCGATGACGTAGAATTTTTTTGTGGTATTCAGAGCTCACATAAACAAAGGCACATTGGAGGGAAGGACCAGTCTCGGCTTGTGTCTTGTACTGTTCTGTGCGATAGCCGCACTTAATCCTATTCTGTTTGTTCTCACAACTGTTCTGTCGCTTATTGTTTGGGGCTCTTTTTTTATAACTACGTTAGACCACTACTAGCAGATCTTCTGCATGGATAGCACGGGACGCTGCAGTTAAAAAGGTATATTTTATTCTATTTTGCTATATGGGCTTGGATTGAATAAGCTATTTCACAGCATCATCTACAGCCGCTAACTATTCAACATGATTTGTGCGTGTTGTATTGCGTATGCAATTTTTTTTTCATAATTGTGATATGTTGGGCGAAAGAATTACTTACGTATACAATTGATACTCGTAGGAAGATATGGCTAATGACAGTAACGTACATTAATAGCAATGATAAAATGTTGAGAATAGATGGCAATAAAAACGACCATTAATTGAAAGTGTTACTGTTACTTTTATCGGTTGTCAGGTACTTTAAAATGTTCTTTAGTTCGCCTGCTTTGTTACGGAAGTCATTTTAAATGTCGATAATGTGTTGACCATGTTATTGAAAAGATAAAGCAACTTCACATGTAGTGTACAATCGCTGTCTCTCTTACTACTGCGAAACCGTTAAAACTCTTTTTCCTTTGCATTTGACTGATGTGGCTAAAACTATTCTCTAACTCACCTGCTGACTCCACCTTGTTCTTCTGTTCGCCTACTGAGTTGGATTGGCGATTTCACAGCTTTCAGACACGTGAATGACAGTATAAGCCGGTATAATTAGCTGCTTAATAGCAATTGCGGTTATTATTTTTGACAGTTCTCAACTACAAATGCACTACTACCTCTACTGCTAATAACAGCAAAAAATAAGTTTAGAGAGAATAGAATAATACATAATTGTAAAAGCAGCAAAATACAAATATTCAGAAAACTTTATGTACATGCTTCATATTTAAAGTGTGACTCCTGTTGAAACTCACGCGTATATATAACCATGCTTTCTGTTTATCCCTGTTAATGATGCTTCTTTCAAATAACAATATAACATTGTGCTTCATGAAATATCTGACATGGAATAAGGAAACAAAAATGACCTAAATAAAATGAAGAAATATTATTTCCATTTATAAGCGTGAAGATTGTTACATTACGCAAAACCATTCAGATTTTTATTATATGTAGCTTTTTTTGTATTGGATACATTGTTTTGTTTACATGTTTTGTTTACAAAGAAACTCTTTTAAATAAGCACTTGCATACATATGTGCACTGTCCATTGTAACGGAAAAATGAACAGGGGTTATAAACTACATTTCTTCTGTATTACAGGGAAGAGTCCCGAGGCGCGCTACTTTCTCGAAACCTGAACTTCAAACAAGACTAAACGACACTGTCCAATTCAAGTTCCTCCGGAAAACACAGTCCGTCGACTGAAGGTATGGAGTATTAATATTGTTTCTGTAAATGAAAACTATAAATGTTTAACCTAGTCAAAAGCAACACGTACAATGCATTTTAATAACAGTGGAAGCGTCATGTTGTAGTGTCTTTTATTGATAATAAAATGCAGCATGTTTCAGAATACATCATCACGGATTTCTCCTGCACATCTACTGTATATATTCAGAGATTAATACAGACATGCTACCCTTTTCATATGATATTTTTTTAAATGAAATACTATGTTGTTGGCTAGTTGCTCTTTTTTCTGCATCCAAAAATATAATTTAAAGATGTGTGCATGGCTTTATTTTGTTAATGAAATGTAAGTGAAGACATTGGATTTGTTAAATATTTTATCTAGACAATGGCATGCTACATTTTTGGATGTTTAAGAGTAAATCAAGCCTGTGCTTGGAGGGTGATCGCTTTGACAGTGTGAGCATTTGTGAAACTTTCATTTACAGCCATGCCCTGTGTTCAGGCTCAGTATGGGTCATCACCTCAAGGAGCCAGTCCAGCTTCGCAGAGCTACAGCTACCACACCACTGGAGAATACAGCTCCGATTTCCTAACTCCTGAGTTTGTTAAGTTTAGCATGGACCTGACCAACACTGAGATCACAGCCACCACTTCTCTTCCCAGTTTCAGCACATTCATGGACAACTACAACACCAGTTACGACGTAAAGCCTCCCTGCTTATACCAAATGCCTCTTTCTGGACAGCAGTCCGCCATCAAGGTGGAAGACATTCAGATGCACAGCTACCATCAACAGAGCCACCTGCCACCACAGGCTGAAGAGATGATGCCCCATTCTGGCTCAATGTACTACAAGCCCTCCTCGCCCCCTACTCCCACTACCCCCAACTTCCAGGTTCAGCCCAGCCCTATGTGGGATGAGCCTGGTTCGCTCCACAGTTTCCATCAAAACTACGTGGCCACCACTCATATGATAGATCAACGCAAGAATCCCGTGTCAAGGCTTTCCTTGTTCTCGTTTAAGCAGTCACCTCCTGGTACCCCGGTGTCAAGCTGCCAGATGAGGTTTGACGGTCCTCTTCACGTACCTATGAACCCGGAGACACCGGGTGCCCATCATGTGGTAGACAGCCAGAGCTTTGCCGTCCCCAGTGCTATTAGGAAGCAGGCAAACATAGGCTTCCCACACTCTCTTCAGCTCGGACATGGGCCCCAGCTGATGGACAGCCAGGTCCCGTCGCCTCCGTCAAGGGGATCGCCTTCCAACGAGGGTCTGTGTGCAGTGTGCGGGGACAACGCCGCTTGCCAGCACTATGGAGTGCGTACTTGTGAAGGGTGCAAAGGCTTCTTTAAGGTAGGGTGGACTACGGTATCATTTCTCAAGCATAGCAATATGAAACGGCAGCTTTTGTCTGAAGCTGGATTTGTACAATCCTTTAACTAGCTAATGTTAAAGAAAAATTTTATCATGACGACCACAGATGGTACAACATTTAAAAAGAAGAAAAATAAGAGGCATTTCCCTCACAGCGACAGCGTTCAGAAAATCTTGTACATTAAAAATTACTATTTAATTGTGGGCACTTGTGTGCATTTTTGACACAGCCCTTTCCCTTAGAATTAAATTGGCTGGGACAGAGAACCGTGTCTAAGCTAACCAAGTGGAACAGAATTCCCAGTGGTAAAATTAAGTGGTCTCTTTATTTCACCATCCTGATTGAATAATCTTATCACTTTAAATAGAGAGGGTCTCGAAGGGATGTAAAAATATGAATGCCCACGGATTTGTATTTACTGAATGTCTACTCCTTCTGCTCCTTGCATATAAAATACAGCTATAAACTGGAGGGTTAGCTGTAGTGTTAACACTATCAATTTTCTTCTATTAATGTCCTGAAAAATCCCAGCTGCGAGACCATTCTTTTCGGGGGTCTTGGTGCTGTTCCCAGGAAATCCATACACACGTCTAACAATCTTTTATATTATTTCTTTCTGATTTTTACAGCGCACGGTTCAGAAAAATGCTAAATACGTGTGTTTAGCAAATAAGAATTGTCCAGTGGATAAACGCCGTAGGAACAGATGTCAGTACTGCCGTTTCCAAAAGTGCCTTGTGGTCGGAATGGTCAAAGAAGGTGAGTAGTAAATGTATGCCTTATCACTGCAATTACATGTTTTTATTCAGAAATTTACGTCTGGATGGGAAATATCTAAATACAGAGGAATAATATTTTAACGGGTTTATTTTAGTACTTTAGAGCGGTATAACAGAGTAAAGAGGTAATGAAAGGGTAATTGTCTAATAGCAACAAAGGTTGCGAGACGGAATATACTGTATACATATATATTTTGCTTTTTTTTCGTGTTTCAGTCGTTCGTACAGCCAGTTTAAAGGGGCGGAGAGGTCGGTTACCTTCCAAACCCAAAAGCCCCCAAGAGCCTTCACCGCCTTCGCCACCAGTCAGTCTCATAAGTGCCCTGGTGAGGGCCCATGTGGATTCCAACCCTTCGATGTCCGGGCTGGATTACTCTAGAGTAAGTGGACACTGCGGGTTTAGTGATTTCCTGAGTTGAAGCACGGCGGCCTGAGCGTTTTTTAAAGGAGTAATTGTTTCGTTGTGATAGTAACTACTGTACTAAACTGTCGGTATACTCTGCGACATAAAAAACACCAACAACAACAACACCACCACCACCAACAACAACAACAACGTTTGTGGCTAGATGATTTCAAAACACTTTTGTTCTCAGGCAATCTTGCAAAAACTGACACATGCTATGTAAAAACAATGCGTTTGTGTAAGCGATTAGGCTTGCTCTCTCTACTGTTATCAATATTGCGCGTATGCTTATGGACCAGCGTAAGACCCAGCCAGTCTGTGGTTGCTTTGTTCTGTTGGCATCTTAGTGTATTTATTTTAACATACCTTACTTGACTGAAATGCTTTGAAACGGAGAACTCTATCATTGCAAGAGAGGGGTTTAATTGTTGTAAAAACCTGACTCCCCTGCTAGAAATGGGCTTTGCAATTTCACGGGTTATATATTTTAGAGGACCTCATTAAGCACTTTTTAAATTAAATTCCAGTTTCAAGCTAACCCTGACTACCAAATGACTGGAGACGACACTCAGCACATCCAGCAGTTCTACGATCTTCTGACTGGCTCCATGGAGATAATCAGAGGTTGGGCGGAAAAGATCCCGGGGTTTGCTGATCTTCCAAAACAGGATCAAGATCTTCTCTTTGAATCGGCCTTTCTGGAACTTTTCGTCCTGCGACTGGCATACAGGTACCTAATTATCAACCATAACAAAAGATCAACCCCCTTCAAGCTCCGTTGGTTTGGATTTTATTAGCTCGCCTATAATTAGGCGCCTTTTAAATCCGCATTTATTACTCTCTCAGTAATTAATTGCTCGTTGTTATTAATTGCAGGTCCAACCCAGTGGAAGGCAAGCTCATTTTTTGCAACGGGGTAGTCTTGCACCGGCTGCAGTGCGTCCGTGGGTTTGGAGAATGGATCGACTCCATTGTGGAATTTTCGTCAAACCTTCAGAGCATGAATATTGACATATCAGCTTTTTCCTGCATAGCTGCGCTCGCCATGGTAACAGGTCCGTGAACGTGAAATAACTTTTTGTTTACTTTATCTTATTGTGTAACTGTAAACCTGCAAGTTAAGCATCGATAACCTATTAATTCATAATTATTATTACAAACAGGAATTCTAATAATTATTCATCTATTTCACTGCAGAGAGACACGGGCTAAAGGAACCCAAGAGGGTAGAAGAACTCCAAAACAAGATTGTAAATTGTCTTAAAGACCACGTGACATTTAATAGCGGTGGCTTGAATCGTCCAAACTACTTGTCGAAACTTTTGGGGAAACTTCCTGAACTGCGCACGTTATGTACACAAGGTCTGCAGCGTATCTTCTATTTAAAACTTGAAGACTTGGTTCCTCCGCCAGCAATAATTGATAAGCTGTTCCTAGACACACTACCTTTTTAAATATACTTGACAGTGACGTTTGATGTGACCTCAAAGAACTTCCACAGACTTTCCTCAAGTCTGCCTTTAACAGGACGGTAAAGCCCCGGCGCTTTTCCGAAATGTATTTTCAAGCGCTGACCCTTTCTGACAGACACTTTAGGTTCTGGTTAAGGATCCATAAACGCAGCAAGCAAACAAAAGTATAAAAAACAAACTGAAGTGAGTGATGTGTACTCTTCTCCATTAACCATTTAATTATTTTGACAAACCGAACGACCTCGTTTCGGGGTGAAACGTTCCGCCAAGGTGTCGCTCAGCTACTGGAACAGTCGACAAAAGTTACACATTTTCCTGAAATGGCATTCCTTATTGTTAATTAAAATATCTGCTGTATGGGAAACACGTGCTATAATGTAATATATACAATTTATATATAATAAATTAATGTGATGCGTCCAATGCGTCAGTTTATAACAAGGTGCATAAAGCTTGTACATGAGCTTGTATATGACAAGATTCAGTTTTGCTTTTATATTTTGTGCCTATGTGTTTCTGTCAGGATTACTGAACGATGAGAAAAATCTGAAAGTATTTCAAAAGGGGAACGCATGTTGTAGGTTTTAGGAATTCTATAGGCACTTGCTATGAAGGTGATGTCTATATTATAAATTATATTCCGGACACTATGTAGTCTGATAGATTTTATAAAGATTGGTAGTATGGGACAACTTTTATTTAAAAATAAAAAAACAAATATGTGAACAACAAAATATCTCATCTGTATAGGCTATTGAAAGGGACTCATGGTGTTTGTAAAATATGTCCAACATTCCTTGTTTGTATGTGTTGTATGTACTGTTGATGTGAAATATAAAAGTTTCTATCTTTATTATTTTGTTGTCAAGATCTACATTTTGCATGCTGCAACTTTTAACCATTTTTCGGAGTATCACAGTTCATTGAAAATGATTGAGCACTGTCTTTGTTTTAATGTCTAAAAGAAGAATGGACAGTTAATATATAATTTCATGTCTGAGTGACAGTTTTTTTTATATTTACATAAAGGTCTTTAATTTGTATATTTCATATTTATGTGTGCGGTACATTGCGCAAATCACTGCCTTTTTCTATGGTGTAATTAAGTATTACAATGCATTCCGTACATTTCCGATAAATCTTTCTTTAAGAAGGAAATATTTAATGTTTACAAATAAAACTGTCAAATTATTTTGCTTGTTTAGCTATTTTCTCTTCAGATAACGACTATCTGACATCTGTACAAATTCTAGCTCCGTAAATGATAAAAAAATGTTTATCCTAATTTTCGTATTTTATTGAGATACACAACCTAGGCAGCGTAAAATGAGCAATTATGTTGTATCGATCAATTTTAACATTACAAAAACTATGCCAAAGAATAGAACGTATTTTATTTTAAAAAACAAGGATTTTAGTTGCATTATTACACTGTAATGCTAATAAATAATTTCCATAAATATCGATTTGTATTTATAAGGAAGTACATGTTATATTATTGTTACTATGTTGTTTGAACGCATGCCGTTTAAGTAAAATAAATAAGGCAGCAGTTCAATTCCTGTAAAGAAGTAATAATCTTTGCGCAGTAGGAATGTGAAACAAGCTCCAAGGTTTATTAGCATCTTCAACCTGTTAATTATTAGCCCTGCATTTTTTCAGAAACCCATTCATAGCTGTTCAGATTATAATAAAACGGTCAAATATAAAGAATACAACTTTTAAGCATAATTAAAGTAACATTTAAATCGCAATACTCTGTCGTTCATCGGAAATTTCCGAAGTGTGGGTTATTATTTTTATTTTTGCTTTATTCAACGTATACGTCAATTGCCTACATTTAAATATACGCCCACATTCTTCCTCAATACAAAACTAACAAAATTAAGCGTAATTATATTGAAGAATTTAGTTTCAACTATGATAGAACACGGAAGCTCTATTCGCAGAAGGCAATTTTAAAAACCCAACTGTATTCGCTGATGCAAATAAAGAATGTTTCTTCAAATACTAAATTAGAAAACACAAAAAAAAAAACTCCGAAAAGAAAGCAGCATATGTAACGAGTTCACGACAGTCTAGTGTTTAGACTTCGGTCTGTATTGTTTTACCTTACATAATTAGTTATTTCAAGTAACATGAAACAATTTTTCACTTTGGGTTTTTAGGTTTAATAAATGGTCGATTGAGATATGTAATATCTTTAGGCTACTTCTAAGTTATATGAATAAATTAGATTTTTTTAAGCGTATACGGACAAAGTTAATCCTACATGCCTGACAAAACCTAAGAAAAACAAAAAAAAGTACAACATACTCAAACCTTTTTTTTTCTCAAACGCATTCTTTCGGCCATATGTTAAATTACACGAACGTAAAAGCCGGTTTTAATGTTTCAATAAGCAAACGAATTTACGCAGTGATTTAGAAAAATGAGAATGTGAATCCCTGAAAAAAAACTTGAAAGCAAAAAGTTTCTTTTGAGAAAGTGACTGATGGAAGAATGGGCGGATGGTGACGCTGCTGAGTAGCACAGAGTTTTGCCGAAAGACAAAATACATTTTAATTGTATTTATTTAAAACGAAAAGGCAGATATAATAAATGCTAGACTTGAATGCTGTCTTGGGCTAAATAACACAAAACCTGTCAGCTTCTAACACTGTTACTTATTTAGTAATTTAGTAATACACCTTTACAGCGGTGTAAAGAGAAGAAATAATAATAAAAAAGAAATTCACAGGATCTAACTTCTAAAATGAATACAGTAAAAAACAAAGGAAACTGTATATTTCTTGTTCTCACCTTAATGAGAAACAGTTCTGATTTACCGTCCTAATTCAGGTCGGTAAAATGAAGAGAGCGATTTACTTGTTCCAGTCGGACACTGCAGTTAATGCATCAATTAAACGTCTGATTTTCGGAATACGTCTAACCACTAATACCAGTGTTCTATATATGTTTCTTTTCTTTGTTTAGATTCTATCCAAAAGTTACAGTTTAACAACACTGGGACTATTAAAAGCATCAACAGAGCGACAGAATGTAGCCTACTTAAAAGAGTTACAGTTTATCCCCTCGATGCCATTCATTTTGCATTTAACAGTGTTGATGGGTCTTATGATGACATGTCACTCAACTGCAACGGAATGTGAAACTTCACACTAAAGAAACTAATGCTTGTTTTATCAAGAAAACAAAAGATTAATCCAAATGTAAATGGTGCTAATACAAACTTTTCTCTGTCAAAATCGAATATGCTGCTTGTGTCTTCGGCGGAAAGCATCAGCCTGTAGGACTGTTGAACAAGATCCGATTGTCTCCTCTTATTTGGGTCTGTTCATATCTATGGGCTTATAACGAAAAGAAAGTAAGCTACTAGGGATCTAGGTGACATCCTGTTTTATTTTTACATTTTTTGTGTTTTCCACAAGACCTAATATTGAATAATGCCGGAAGCATTAAGGCCCGAGTATAGGACATCAGGAAATTCTCGTCTCGTTCCGATCGTAGCAGCTACCAGCTCATTATGAACCTGACCAAGAAATGTTAACCCTTGATGTTTCTTTTTAACCCCTGCGAAAAAACTGATTAGCTGGAACTATATAGTATCGCACTGCCGAACTTATCACAGGACAAGTCTCTTGACTCATCTGATAAAGAAGATGGGCTTGGCCAGTAATTTCAGGTTGATTACTCCAATATTCGGACACCTTACATGGGTTATCTTTCATACATGCTTAATTATAGGTATTGCTTTTTTCACGTTTTCATGTCCTTTTTTTCTCTCTTCTCCAGGAAGACAACATGAAATTTGGAAAACCGAAATACCGGCATATTTAAAACTACTATGTAAGTTAAGGAGGTTTTGTAATTGAGCGAGAGTTGATGCGTATCAAGAGGTCATTGATAAAATTAATCAACAGAGAAATGTAGCTGTGAGGGCTAAAGGCAGGAATTTGTTATAAAAACTAAAAAATGTAATCTTACTATACTTACTTATCTACCTGCTTTTTGAATGTTGTGTGTGTTTTAAAGTCTAGAAGGTGAAAACCTTCATTCATTGTTAAAGAATGGTTACAAATTCTATTTCTCACAAAGATACCTCGTTTAATACAAGCATTCAACGGCTAACAAATACAAATAAGGGCTTAAAACTAGGCCTATATTTATTTGTTTAACTTGTGTATTAATCCACTTCTTGTTGAGTAGGTATGTATTTGTCAATAAAATGCAACATATGAGCTTCGAACACCTTTTTAAAATACCTGATTATTATTTGATTAAAGACATTTAAAAGAGATCTGGACATTTTTATTTTCCTCGTGGTTTATGAATAATGTATTAGTAAAGTAAACCTAGGTTAATTCACCATATGTTGTTTCTGCTGCAAGAAACTCGTTCATTTATTTCTTAACTTTTTGTTAATCATTTTCAGTTAAAATGCTGTCATAATATAGAAATCTTTTTTTATATCCAAAAGTTTTTTTAGATTGTTTTATTTGTGAGGTTACTGAACGTTTTTATTTTCAAACATTTGCTATTAAATGTTTTCGCCTATAGCCGTATTATTTTCGTGTAATACTACAGTACATTATATGCATAATATATATTGACTTTATAGGCAATTTCCAAGATCCATAAACTGAACAACTAACTGTATTTTTAAATTTAGACGTTTATGAAAGCCTTTGAACAGACTTCGTTTTCTAAAGAGAACATTTAAGGACATTCTTTGCAAAGACAATTAAAACAATTTAATCGACGGTAGAGTTTTGACAGTTAAATTAATACATGGAAATATCTTCGATCCTGTTTTAGCCCAAGACTTAGAGTCACCTGTATCATTTAACATACAATAATAGACCATGCAATATTAACTACAGGCAACACCAAAGAGTTTTCCTTACTCCATATACCTACAGTATCATCGCCATGTATGATGGTGGGGGTGCTCATTTTTCAGCGATTTAACGGTAGGGATAATATAAATGGTTGCGATTTCCTTGAATCTAAAGGACGTTTTAACCCTTAATTAACATTGATTTCAGCAAACTAAGACTTTTTCTGATAGTTTCAAAGATTTTAAATTTTGCTAATGTATCATCGAGATGTATGAGCACCAATCTCTAGCCGGTTAGATTTTAACGTTAACCACAGTATAACGTTTCCCATTTACTGAACATTACAAATTGACTTGGTTTTATTAATAAAATAAAAGATAAGTGTATACTACTGTCAATATGGGGGAATTGTGAGAAACTGCGAAGATAGTAACTCATGGCAAACAGAACATACTGTATGTAGACGTCTCCGTGGTGTAAATTATTATTTTGTAAATAAACCAATTGGCATATTCTTTTAAATCAATCAGTGTGGAATTATGTTTCGATGGAGTATAGAAAAATAAAAGTAGACTTATATTCAATTGGAAGTCCCCACAAAAATAGCAATGCAAGTACAAGTATGTAAAAATGTGAATGCCAGAGCCACAACATTTAGATATCTACACCATATATATGTGTGTGTGTGACTAAAAATAGCCTTTATAAGACATTTAATCATGCAAAAAATGTGAATATTAAGGATTGATATAAACAGCTAAAATGTACCTGTGTAATGAGGGTTTGTAAAGCATTGATAATCTACGAAAACATTGGACATAAAACTCCAAAACATTACCCACTTAAATATAAATGCAATTGTTATAAAGATGAATTCAACCATCAGAATACTGGTTTAATTTTTGAATGGGAATTGAGAAGTTGTATGCATCGGTTTTGCTTACCTTTCTGTCTCTCACACATAACATACTGTAAATACAGTACTGTACTGTACATGTGTGAAGTATCCTCTCAAGCACGCATCTGTGGTAAGAACAGTTTTCTTTTTGTAGAAAAATGTACATACTATATGCATGCTTATCGATGCATGTGTACAGTAGATGAATTAATAACTGACTGCCAAAATAAACCTTATGATATCCCGGATATCTTATGAATCTCATACTCTGAGATTTAGGTATTATTTGAGCTATGCCTCAGTCAAGCACATCTATGTCAACAGTACACTTCCTAGTTTACTGTACGTGATGGACAAAGACAGGATCCATTCCCTCAGTTCTCCACTTACTGTATGTGGAGATGTAGTTAACTTCTTGTGTTTTGAAAAGACAATACTGTTATTTACTCCTA